GTGAAAGATCGCGCACGGCTGGAAGCCGAGCTATATAGTTTCTATCAACGGGATACAGCACAATTGACGGACTTTATTTTACGAAAAATCAAGCTAACGGATATGCTGTATGGAAAGAAACCCGATGCGGAGATAATTGAAATAATATTACCAAGATTGTTACCCGCTGTTCAAGACTACTTTGAAATTAGAAACCCAAGAACATTGCAGGAACTCTTCGAATTGGCGGTGAAAGTTTCAAAATCGCAGAATAGCGGAAAAAAGCGAGAAGGGAAACATATCTCAAAGTACCCGAAGGAAGGAGGAAACCAGAAATGGAAATCGCTTTTATGGGGAAAGAACTATCAAGCTAACGCATCGAAACTCGAAGGTCAAGGCCCAAAAAGAAAATTTAAAAATAAACATCCGCGTACCCAGAAGACTCAGATTGAAAGGAAAGCTTTAAACGAGTAGAGGGCCTGTGAAAGGGAGGGTCCAGACCCCGGAAGTTTAAAAAAAACCCTCAAATAGACATTTAAACACGGTCATCGTAAAAACTCTCACAGCTACCAATTATACAAGTCCTGGTTGGCGATGTACCAGTAGAAGCCCTCATCGATACGGAAGCAGAAGGAAATTTTATGAGTGAAAATTTCTTCAAAAAGAATTTTTATAGATACCGACTATTTAAAACCAAAATACGGAAATTATAGCGGCGCAAGGAAAAACATGTCACTGCATCGGGAAATTATCATTAACTTACAGGTAAAAGAGGGAAAGTCTCAAAGTCTTTTTAATGACTGGCCATGACCAGGAAACATTAAACCAGCACGTGGTGAGTAATTTTTCTCATTTGTTTTCCAGAAAAACCAGGAAACTGCCAAATCGTGACTCACAAGATTGAATTAAATGCCGAAAAAACCTTGTAGGACTAAACCGTATCGTTATGATAAACAAAAAGACCTAATCATCGAAGAACATATTCAGGAGATGTTAAAGAATAAAATAATAACGCCCATAAATAGTGAGTACGCGAGTCCAGTCGTACTATGGAAAAAGAACGAGTTTCCTCCTTCGGATAAAAGGGCTTGGAGGTTTGCTTTTGATTACAGAAAACTAAATAGTATTAACCAAATTTTCAGTTTACCCTTTGCCGGTTATAGACGAGATCATTAGACAGATCAAATCGACAAGATATATGTCTACTTTGGACTTAACGTCTGGCTACTATCAAATAGCTATGAGACCCGAAAGATATACATAAAAACTGCGTTTATAACAAAATCGGGCACTTATGCATTTTTACCCCATGCCTTTTGGGTTTGTGTGGGGCCCCATCAACATTCCAGAGAGCTATGGACATTGTTCTAAAAGCCTGTCCTAGGAAAATCACTTTAATTTATCTAGATGATATAATTATAAAACGAGTAGTACGTTGGAACAACACATTAATAACCTCGAACAAGTTTTTAAATTATTAAAAGAGGCCGGTCTTACAATTAACGCCTCAAAATGCAAGTTCGCAACTAAAGAACTTAAATATCTCGGTTATAAAATTTCGCAAAAGGGTATAGAAACGCAAGATTCAAAAATAAAAGCTATTAAGAATTTCCCACCGCCCAACACCGCCAAGAAACTTTCATCCTTCCTTGGGTTATGTTCTTACTATCGATCTTTCATAAAAGATTTCGCTAATATTGTTGAACCACTCTTAGTAATCAAAAGAAAAAAGGCTAAATTTACGTGGACAGCGGAAGCTAACACAGCTTTTGAAAGATTAAAAGAAGCGCTTATTAATGCCCCTGTTTTAAAATTCCCTGAGGGGGACGAAAACCTGGAAATTGCAGCAGATGCGTCAGACTATGCGGTGGGTGCGGTTCTTATGCAAAATAACCATCCACTGGCATTTTTTAGTAAAACATTGAATCAGACACAAAGGAATTATACAGCTACAGAAAGAGAAACATTAGCCGTATTAATGGCTGTACACAAATTTCGAGTTTATTTCGGCAAATCGCCAGTAACAGTCTTTTCGGATCATGCGGCTGTTGGTAGACTTTACTCGGGGAAAAACCTAACGCCCACGTTAATAAGATGGGCTTTAAAACTCCAAGAATATAATATCACAATAAAATATAAACCGGGTAAGGAAAACAATGTAGCTGACGCACTTTCTCGTATAAAACTGGACGATGAAGGAAATGAACTTAAATGCGCTGTGTTGACATCAAAAATTTTAGATTCTAGAGATACGGTTATTACTGAACTGAAAGCTGATCCTGAATTTGGAAATATCTATGCTTATTTGAAAGACCCCGAAAGCTTTGAGCACACAGATATCGATGCGATAAGAAATAGAGCAAAAAACTATGAAATAATAGATAATTTATTATTCTATACGAAAACAACAAACGAAAATCTTGAGTATAAGCCGATCATCCCAGCCTCGCTTCGATTAAGCATTTTGAAGGAGTTGCACGAAGAAAAAACAGCGGGCCACCTCGCGGTCAGAAAGACTATAAAAAGGGTACGCGAGGCGGTATATTTCCCGCAATTATACAAAATAGTAACGGCGTATGTCAGGTCCTGCAATCAATGTCAGTTAATAAATGATATTAATTACAGCCCGGCCGGGTACTTAAATAGCATTCGCGCTACATTTCCGAATGAAATTTTAGGCATAGATCTCCTTGGTCCCTTCCCCCAGAGCGAGTTAAATAAAAATCGTTTTCTTTTAGTAATAGTAGATCATTTTTCAAAATGGATAGAAATTGTTAAAACGCGCGTCAGCCAAAACAGTCGCAGATGCATTCTTACACAGATACATTTAAAATACGGTGCACCGATAAAAGTCATTAGCGATAACGGAAAACAATTCATTAGTCCAAATATTTGAAAACATATTGCAATGGACTTGGCATACGCCATATCAAAATGGTTCCGTATAGACCACAGGCTAAACATAGCAGAAAGAGTTAATAAAAACATAGTAAAAATAATTCGCAGTTACGTGGTAGCACACATCACAAGCGCTGGGATGGCTACATAAATGAATTAGCTTATGCTTTAAGAACGGCACAATCATGATACTACGGGAAAAACTCCAGCAGAATTATTTTTAGGACAGGAAGTTAATTACGCCAATTAGATAAATTATTCTTTGTGCAACAAAGAGAGCAAGAATTTAAACAAAAGATGTGCAAAAGCTCAGTTGATCCAGGCGCTTAAAACCTCGGATACGGCAAGAAATAGACAGAAACTGTACTATGATAGGAAACGCCGTGAAGCAGATTTTAAAGTTGGGGATAAAGTATTGAAGCGGAAATTTTCTTTATCAAGTGCCCCAGACAATTTTATGGCAAAGCTAGCTCCAAGGTTTGAAGGCCCCTATGTAATTCAGGAAAATCAAAGGAGTAGTCTTATATCTTAAGAACGAGAGAGGGGAAATCTGTAAAGCAAGTCCCGACCAGGTGAAAAAATACTATAATCCAAATGATTTTGAAATCCTTAAACGTTTCTTGCAGGACTCAAGTCTAAACGAAATAGAAGGTCCAGAGACTACAACAACTATTCCACCACCCAAGAAACAGAGAACTGAAGAGAGACCTAGCACTTCTACACCCCGGACGTCGGTATCAAAAAGAAAAAATAATTTTCAAACTCCGGCGTTTAAGAAAACAAAAATACAGATGCACCGGGTAAAGAAACCGTGGTAAAGAGAAAAACACCACCTACAAAGGATAGCAGGAGAAATTACACATCAAGGAGAACGCGCCACACGGCCACAGAGTCAGGTGCCAGCAAGGCCGCCGTTCCGGAAACTGAAACGCCAACAGGAGGCCACAAAAAATACGAGGAACAGAAGAAATTCAAGAAGGACTCCAGACCGGAGGACGTCAAGACCAGCCGTCCCAGGGAGAAACGGAAAGGCCAACAACCAGACGATTACTCCGCCAAGAGGCCAGCATGTAGAGGACGCAAAAGAAAAAGTCAGGTGGACGACACTCGGAGGGCAGTAAGGAGAAGATTAACATCCATGAAACCTCTAACTTGGGACCAATTCTGCCAAAAACGAATGGCGGAGTTTCAAGCATCGAAAACTCAAAGATAAGTTAAACCCTTCTATAATTTTTTTTTCTCTTTTGTTCCCAAATGTTATGCATAAGTACGAAGTTCTATGTTTTGACGAAAGTAAATATATCTCGGTTGAGACTTAGTTTTGTTTTACTTTATTTAGCTAAGGCAAAAGTATTATTTTCTTTAAGTGTAAAAGCTAAAAACAAGCATTTTCTGTTGGTCGAAAGACTAATTCTGTTATGTTAAAGCAAAAATTTGGCCGAAGATAAAAATAACTAACTTCGTATTCTTGTATTAATAAGAATTTTACTTTCAGTGCCGCCAGCTTGGCGAAGAATGAGTAAAGTAAAAAATTTTTATTTTCTCTTATTCATTTTATGGTAAATTGTAAAAATCATATGTATTAAAATTTTGTAAATGTACGTAAATACTTGAATGTTATAAAAGTAGAATTTAGTCTAGAAGCATAAAATTGTAGATGCTAAAAGTGAATGCTTAAAAGCAATGAAGTCAAAATTTAAGTAGTAAATTGTAGATAAAGTCATGCTTTAGAGCGAAAGCCTGCATGGTTTAAAGATGAATGACGGGGAAGTTAGAATGAATGTGTTTTGTAGGGTTCTCCCTCCACCTACATTTGAATTTTAAGAATATTAAAGTAGCTCATTGAGTGGTAGAATGTCGAGTAAGGTGTGTCTATTTGGTCGTTGAATTCTAACAAATCATGGTGGTTAGGGGAAGTGTTGTAAGACTAAAACCGAATATTCCCGTTTGACAACCACACATGGTGGAGAGCCAGGGTAAAGTTAAATTAATGCTTGAAAAATTGAATGATTTGAAGTAAGCATAACTAAGAAAAAACGAATCGTTAAAAACAAAAATTTATTGTGTCAAGAAAGTGTAAATTATAATGTATGTAGAAAGATACTGATACTTATTCCTTCCAGATGCTGGAAGGAAAGACCAAGATTGATTGATGAAGTCCAGGAAAAGTTGCTGTAAGAAGATTTTTTTGTGTTAGTAGATTTTTTTGTGTTAGAAGATTTTTTTGTGTGTTATTTTTTGTTACTTAAGATTTTTTTGTGTAAACGAGGTTCTCGCCAGTTAGTTCAGAATTAGAGAAACTTACAACAGGTCGTTTGTAGGACCTGCTTCCAAGTTTTCCAAATTCTGGCAGCGGCAAATGTAGGGTTTATATTTATTTTAACTAACATTTATTTTAAGTTTAAACTATCTTTCCTGTCAAGCCTTACTTTCCCCTGAAACTGCCAATGCCAGAATATGTAACTTTTAGTAGAACGCGCAAGGATTCAAATTATCAGCGGAAGTATTATGATTTAAATAGGAAGGAAACGAGTTCGGTGTGTGATATTCTTACTGCACGAGCGCGGAGGTAGTTAGCGAGAAGTTGAAGAAACCCCGCGTTGCGGCCTATGTGCTTGGCGGGAAGTAGTGGTAATCGTTCCAGTGAGCTTCAAGTCTGCTGAATTAGCAGCGGTATTGTAAAACGCGGTGAGTTAGTTATTTTAGAGAGCCTCGTAGTTAGAATCTTGTCTTTAGTTTCTTTTCAGGTTATTATTTTTATTTGACTGCCGAGTTGGCACCGTCTGTAAGCGTCAAGAGCACGCAATTGTAATTTATTACGTTGAATAAAAAGGGACTTAAACCCTTCACAAAATTCTATCTTTTATACAGTTTCCACAGTCACCCCTTGGTTGCGTGCAAGTTAGAGGCGCGCAACGTTATATCTTTACTTCTGTGTAGTTACGGTGCAGTTCTTACTTCTCCGTAATTTTTTTATTTCGGTGTACTTTATGCATCTATGTCATCCCACTTGCACAATTCCTTCCGGAAGTGCCCCTTTTTAAGAACGTTAAAGCCAGTTTAAGCCATATCTACCATAGAAGATGCAGAAAGCTTCGTTTCTTTCTTGTGGGAACGAACAGCCGAAGGTATTGTCCATGATATAACAGCATGAATATCCCACGCATATTCGTGTTTATTCATGTGTAAACTGAAATGTATACAAAATTCAGGCTGCAAGGAGAAAACGTTATTCAGGTTATAATGAATTTATATGCGTTTACTGATTAAAGTTTTCAACTAATGTCCAGTGGCGTAGTTATTTATATCATTTTTCTGGAACTGAACGCAAAAGTGGTATGATAGGTAATAAAATGTGCAGATTAGACTACTAGCAATGTTCTGAGCAATGAACGCATGTTGGAATTCGGGTGTATAGTGTTATTTAAAGTTAATATTGTTTCTAAGAGTGAACAATATTTATTTATGACTAAAAAGCATCATTTAAGTAACGATTAAGTAACATCATAAGTGACGATTAATTGGTAGAGTTGAGAATGGAAGCAAACAGAGATGGGATACTTTAAGATCTAAATATCTCTCAAAGTTTCATATCAAGAACTTGAAACAGGTTTTTAAGCAGGACCGTTTTCTGGCTTGTCGATTAGAATGAATAGCAAATCAATTACACGAGGTTTGGGTTTAGATTATAATTTTAGGCTGCCGCATGAATTGAAATCAGCTATTTCATTGCTACACGAAGGCTTTCACGAAGTTAGACTTAGTAGAACGAGGTTTGTAATCACTTATTTCAGCTTCTAAAAGGGCCCGTTAAGGTAATATCGTGGCCATGTTCAGAACAACCATGAAGAATTTTATCATGTCCTTTTTACTGAAGAGTCCGTACAGAGCCCATATTGTGAATTTAGCTGTGGTTTGATCTGGAGGCACCGAGGAACAGGAACTTCCCACTTCTCGTTCATAAAAGATACTATTTACACTGAAGCACTTTCATTTTTTTACGTGAATCATATAAAAAGACTGCACTAAGCTGCATGTCTTCGATGGCTCGTCTAGAATCCATTACAGATATGTGGACAACAGTCTTTAAACCTCATGTAGGACTGTATAGGTGTGCTGCTAGTCCAGATTCTTTCTTAATGTTTAATAACTGTCACCTGCGTCGAGCATATCCGATGTCAGAACACTTAAAAACAGAAGACAGCACTCGAATGGATTATTCAGCTTACTCACCAAATTTAACTCTTTCGCATCGAGAGACGACCAAATCTGTTTTCAACAAACATCGAAAACGCCCGTGTTTACGAATTTGTCTTGGAATAGTTTTCCTTTCCCACTGCGGTTTCATCCATTGTGTGCAGTTTCACCTTAGGGCCGTATTGCACCTGCGAACGTCAATAGCTTTCCGTATTTCTCCTTTATTTGCTTCAAAAGAATGATTGACATGTCTTTTAACAACTCGCGAAACCAATGAGCCATACACTAACGTGGAGGGGAAAGAACTAGGTAGAAAATAAACGAGACGTTGGGGCGGTTTGCCGTTGCCTGAATGAACGGGCGTTACGGGCGACTTCGATGCGAAAGAGTTAAACCCGATTGAACACGCGTGGAGTGCCGTTAAGCCATCGAATATTTGCACACCTGATGCCTGTCCGGATACTCCAGGATACGAAAATTTCACTTTTAGAGGAATAGCATGCAAATTCACAGTACTTGATCTATAATTGGGTAAATTCTATGAAATCAAGATGTAAAGTTTGCATTTCTTTCAGAGACCATACATTAAAGAAAGATTTGTTGCTAAACAGCGGAGATAATTTTTACATTGTTTCTAAATTTCCATAAATTTTACTTTTAATTTAATAATTTGACAAACATGGTGGCTTATATTAAATAATGCTTTTGCTCAAAATGTTTTTAATTATTTTTGATAAGTAATAGTTAAATTGTATTTCTGTAAATATCCCTTAATTTTGACCAGAAGTCTGCCTATTTGTTCACTTACCTCAGCTGCATGCCGTTCTTGTTACCACAAAAATTAAAAGCCTTGCAGAAAGAAAAAATATTTCCTAATATAACTTATAGCCAATAAAATGTGAAACAAGTATTCAGTAATGTTTCGAAAAATGAGTTCCAGCCCTTGCCTGCTACCCGAAATGGGCATCCCGTTTAAATGAATATACAGGTGCCAGCGAGGAAAAATTTGAAGACGTAGTATACACTAAGTTCTGCAAAAATACTTTAAGGAAATTCTGCGAATGAAATTACTACACCAAAATATAATACTGTAAAGAATAATAATACTGGTAAATTATAATAATGTTAATTGTAATGTAATAATTATAAATATTGTTAAGTTGTAGTAGAGTAGCACTTGTGGCAGTATCATTATTAACCTATTTAATTTGTATTTTAAGTTGCTGGCTGAATATCAATGGGCGTGCCATGCTTCCATCAGTGCTACCTAATCTCGTCTTTGGTGCCCTCACTTTATTTCTATTACTTTCCATGTTCGACGCTGATCAACCCAGACCGGATATATCACCAATTCGACTTATGAGAGGAAGGCAAGTATATAAGCAAGAGATAATTGCTTGAACACATCTGTTTATCATTCCCCTCCATAAAGATTTTATTGGTCTCCTTTAAAATTTCTTCAAATTTTTTGTCATATATTTGACCAGATTTTAATGCATTACAATAAAATATGAAATAATTTGAAGCATTTCTAATAAATGCACTGTTTTAAACGTCTCAGATTTATAACTCAGGAAATTATTTTGCAGAGTTTTCCTTAAAACTCGGTGGGCATGCTTCGCCATTTTAGTAATCACTGCTGTTTCCTATGGTACGGGAATGATGGGTGCCAATAACAGAGATTCTACCCTCAATTATGTGTTCATCGGTTTTAGCACATGTTTGGGTTTCTTTGTACCACTTCTCAGGATCAGGTGTGATGACCAAGTAAGTATTATGAGCAACGTTTTAAGGAGAAAAATTTTTTCCCTGCCCATTCCCTTTAATGCAAACAGTAATATTGACATATACACTGTGTACCGTAAACGTTGCGACAAACTTCTAGGGGAGGTAGGGCACATCATAAGGATTAAGAATTGCATAGGAACCCATGCCCGGAAATGTCAGGGGTAAGTGGTTGCAGAGGTAGAAGATGGGAAAAGAAACAAGACTGATTAATTTGAAACATTTATTGGACATGAATACAAATGGTGTAAGACAACTTGAATGTTACAACAGATGCTCGAAGTTTGCACCGTCAGACCCCAAACATGCCTGATACCGACGGACCATTGATTGCCGGACATGCTGAAACACACCGGGAGTTTCTTTGACTGTAGCAGCTGCGCAGGCTAGTTTTGCCATGAGATCCATTTCAGACACAACAGCTTCATGATACACGAGACACTTTTGATGGCGTCCCACAAAAAGAAATCAAGGCTCGATAAATCCGGTGAGCGTGGGGGCCAGGGAACTAATCCCCCACGCCCAACCCATCGATGCGGGAATGATCTCTTAAAATGGCTACGAACATCCAGTCCAAAATGAGCAGATGCCCCATTATGTTGAAATCACATGTTGCGCCTCACATTTGGTGGAACTTCGTCAAGCAAATCGAGAAGAACCTGCTCCAAAAAGATAAAATAATTCGAAGCATTCAAATGGTCCGTCGGTGTCGGGCATGTTTGGCGTCTGATAGTGCAAACTGCGAGCATCTGTTGTAACATTCAAGCTGTCGTACACCATTTGTATTCATGTCAATAAATGTTTCAAATTAATCACTTCTTGCTTCTTTTCCTATCTTCTAACTCTGCTACCACATACCCCTAACATTTCCGGGTTTTTTTATGGGTTCCTATGCAATTCTTAATCCTTATGATGTGCTCTACCTCCCCTAGAAGTTTGTTGCAACGTTTACGATGCACCCTGTATATATAAAAAAGATATTTACAGATGCTGGGAACACACTTTCAGTATTTCATTACTCTAAAATTAAGGCATATATTCAAATATCAGAGCCATACCCACATGTTTAAATATAAAAGCTTTTTACTTTCATCACCTCAGTTTGCACATTAAACGGAGGAAATATACCAGAACACGTGGTATTTAGAAAGTTCCGAGAACTAACTCCTCTTCTCCGTTGCAGGTAGCAAGATTCAAGTATAATAACTATCAGTTAGATATGCATGAACAACATTTAAATTTTTCTTTGTGTGAAAGCGCCGCCTTAAAATAATGCCAATCATTGCAAAAGAAGAGTATTAATTAGACACACCTTCTTTTCTCACGGTCACGATTCGTGATTTTAATTGAAATTACAATGCTTTGATAATATATAAGAACTGTGAGATTTGGGAAATAAAATTTTGATGGTTTAAATTTTTAAACTGGCATGTAATATGCTGTTTCTTGTAAAACAGGCCTATCAGCAGCCCAGCGGCTAAGTCTCTGAACCTAGGTAGTTTGACTGAGGTTCTATTCCAGGTGAACGAGCTGTCTACATGGCTGTTTCCGTGGTTACCCCCCCCCATATGTAATGTGGATACGAGCCAGTTTTTCTTAGAAAGTCATCTACGAAAACTTCCTTCCTTTCGGCAAATAGCTTTAGCGTGCTTTCCCATAATAAAATACCTTATGGCCTAAAGATAGGATTTTTTTTTTTTTTTTTTTTTTTTTTTTTTTTTTAAGGATTTGTATTTTGTACAGATTTATTTTTGTAGCATGTACCCATATGGGACAAGCATAAAGGAAAAGCGGATCGAACAAATCTCTATCATAGCATTGTAATGCTCATGAAACTTTGGGTTCTTCTTATATCTGTGCCACAGAGACTCAGATTGTTTTCCTGCAACCTCAAAATTATCCCGCAATTCCTCTGCATGCTCGTTCCACGACGAGCAAGACGTTTATCTGCTGTCCTCAAATTTTACGAACTCTCGGAAGTTTTCTAAAGGTAACATCATCTTCTAAGCTGTGATTGTCATCATATTTATCAGAAATTCTGAAAGCCTCTAATTGTTGTGAATTTCTCAACTCGTAAGTTGAATCAACTTCTAAATTATTTTTAAGTTGCATCAAATCCCAATCAAATCAAAAATGGTAAATTCGTAACAAAAAGGTACACGAAGGATTAAAAACTGTCCAGCTAAAGACTTATTTTCAACTAGCTAAATGTTTTCACGAAAACCTGAAACTGATAATCTTGGCTTCCTGCAGCTTGTCATTTTCGCCATCCGCTATGCTGTTTCTGCTTCAACGCTGAACTGGTAGCTGAGTTTTTGATATTTCTAATTCGCTTTGTAAAGTAAATTACTGTGAGATTTCTCAGCATTTTTAAACACCTTGTAAATGTGTTATGACAGTCTTACATCTGATAACGGTAGAATATAACATTAAACCAAAATTCTTTGTCAAAGCTGAGAATGTTTTCATTGAATTTTTATTTTGTAAGTAGAAGAGATAATGTCTTAACATACGCTAAGTACCACAGGAAAAAGAAATAATTAAAATTCTATTTAAAATTTATTCAGAATAAATTTATATGGGAAGTAAAAATATTATTGTTTCTAGATTAAATAACAAAAAAAAAAATAAATAAATAAATGTATGAGCATCATTTAGAAAAAATTCTTTAGATGATAAAAAGTTAGAAACTTAATAGATATTTTTTGACAATATGCTACAATGAAGTTTTACAGAAAAGTATTTTAATCAATGATACACTAAAAATAACTGAGGCATTTATGCGTAGATTTGCAACTTGGTTAAAAGTATTTCAGAAGCCCCTCAATGACCAAAAGTTATAAAAATGATAAATTTCAATTTTTATTCATTTATGTTTAATTTCAGAATTTTACTTACAATTAAAATTATTATTTTATTATTTTATAATTAATATATTAGAATTTTTATTATTGGAGAATTGAAATAAATGAATTGATATACTTTTTATGCTTTTACAAAAATACTTTGTGTTAGCATTATTTTTCTCTTTATTAAAAACCATATATTGTTCTTTCATTGCTGAATATTCAATACTCAAAAACGTATTTTCCTGCAAAATTTACTTGATAACCACCGATAATTAAAAATAGTTGTTTCCTTTAGGCTGATGCTTTGATTTTTGTAGGCTTTTATTTATATTCTACTAGATGCTGCTTAGCAATTTCTTATTCTGTTTCAAATTAAATTTTTAATTCTTAGTGTATGGAATACTGAACATGTATCACACATACAAACTGTATCATTCTTGCCAGAGAAAATTATTTATTTGAACTGCCATCAAAATTGGCATTAATATATTTGATTATTTATTAAAATATTTGACATTTGATTATTATTGCAATAATTTTCTATTTCGAGGTGACATTACTTACCATTAACCCTTTCGATCCTGGTGCTCTAACATTTAAATCACCTTTTCAAAATTCTATAGAATGTAAATCGGCGGTTTTTCTTCAACCACATGCATAAATAGGTAGCATAGAACTCCATATTTTAGCCCGTAGTGGAAATTTCAAGATAAAATGCAGTGTTTCATCAACATTGGCATTTTCTTGGTGTGATACCATTTGTGGAGTTCCATAACCTTGCTTTTTGTACATTTTGTGCAAAAAAATTTTAATATCCTCGTGCAATGGCTAGTGAGGTATTTTCCGAATGGTGGTGGCTTCGTATATTTTGGCATTTTGTTGATGAGACAATTACAAATTCTTACATCTTGTTCAAGACGAGAAATGGAGGTCAATCCTTACCATTTAAAAATTTATTTTTTGAATTTCTGTAGCAAGAGAACTGATAGCATTGCGAAACCGGAAAAACATGGACGAGAAAATGCGGGCACAAACATATGTGCCAAGAGACGTTTTGTTCCAGAGAATCGCCAACAAGCAGCAGCGCATATGCAAATATATGCGGCATCTTTGCGATGTGGTTTATGATGTAAAAAAGCTGAACCCCATCGCATAAAATGGCAGTGCACAGTTTGCAATGTTGGACTCTGCCCTGAATTATAAGAATTATTTTCTACAGTATATCATCAAAAATAAATCAAGACATAGTTCTAGTGGTATTGCAATGTAACCACCATATTTCCATGGTCATTTTGTTGCTTATATTAATCATTACCAATATGTTAATCATGTGACAAGAAAATAAGCTTTTTTCTGTGTAGTCAAAGGGTTAAACTCTAAATTGCTTAAAAAATAAGTATATGTCAAAAAGATGGCATAGAACATTCTGGCTTAATATACAGATACACCTAACCAAATTTTTATGTATATTTACAGATTAAAGAGAAACTGAAGAAAAAAGAGGAAGCCAAGAGTTAAACTCTAAATTGCTTATATGCCAAAATGATAGTATATAATATTCTAGCTTAGTATACAAAGCAAATGTTTTATGTATATTTACAGATCAAAGAGAAGCTGAAGAAAGGTTTATTTTCCAACTTACGCGATGATTTAGGAGGTATTCGAGTGACTCCTGCACCTGACAAATATGATCCTAAGCCTTTGCTTCAGATGGAAGAATTCAACAAAAAGAAATATCACGAGAAACAGATAACCAACTTTTCCTTACAAAGGGATGAACTAGACGATTCAGGAATAGCATGGCATCGCTGAAATTCTTTAACTGGAAGCAACCATTGAGTTAATGATGATTTTTAAAAATTTTTGATTAAATAATTCAATAATGATGTAAGCCATCATTACGTTATTGAATTACAGAATGATAGCGGAATTACGACTGATTCCGAATTTTATATCAGTCAGAAAATTACTTGATCAAAAGTTGCGTCAAATGTTTCTCCAAAGCTGAAGCCATTTCTGAACTTATTCTTAAGCACAGCTCATATGGATGAAAATAGCATCTAGAAAAAGAGAAATTCAAAGTATTTTGTAAAATGTATTTTGTTCAAACTACTTTTCTAAATAAAATATTCCATATTTACAGAGGTAGTGCATTTTATTTACCAACTGATAAGAGAATGTGACATAATTCAGACGGTTTCGGTAAACTGAAAAATAATTATATTAATATCGTTTGGCACACTTAAATCAGTATTTTCTGTGTTTTCCCCCTCTGTTTTTAAACCTTTTTGTTAGAAAGAACGTTTTTAAACCTTTTTGTTAGAAAGAAAGCATTTGCGGAGATGTGGCAAGTCCATGCCTTCCATAAGATGCATAAGGGTCAAAGAGAATCAGAAGTAACATTCTGGAGTCAAAAATTTTACGGTAGACTCTCTTTTTTATTTTAAGGAGCCGCTGGTGTTGAATGCGTACGATTACTAACGGAAGTGTGAGGATGTAATAAAACAAATAAAAGTAGCAAAAGATTTTACACACAATATAAATTTTATTTCAAGAGCTAAGCTTCCATTTTGTGAAAAAAAGCAATTCCTAAATTGCTTTTTTTTTCTCAAAATGGAAGCTTAGCTCTTGCAGACCGAGATTCTAAGCAGACCAAGGTATTTCATTTGCATTCTAAATTATAGCAACGTATTTTTTCTGAGAATAACAGAATGACCCATAAAAAGAGTACATACGTATATCTTAATGATATTCTGATATTTTCTGAAAACAGCATGTTTTATTGATAATAACATTAGGAAGAACATTGTAGAATACGATTTATGTAGATTAAACATTAGCTACCTATCCATTTATATTTCTTGGCAGTACTGTAAAAGAAATATCACATCATGGAATTTTAAAGATGTAAAAACCGGCTTGAGTTTATCGCCTGTAAGTTGACGTTGACAGCAACAAAGCTCTCGTGACAGATTTTCTTCTGTAAGAATTTGTGTTTCTTTTGAGTAAAAAAAATAATAATAATAATTTTTAATAGCACATAACAAGACAACTGAACATCAAATGAAATACAAAACAAAGACTAGAAAATTCGCATCACTATAAACTCAGGGCGTTCGTTGCCATTCAGTAGCGTTTTCCATATCCATATTCGAGGAAGGGCATGGCATTTGCGGAGATGTGGCAAGTCCATGCCTTCCATAAGATGCATAAGGGTCAAAGAGAATCAGAAGTGACATTCTGGAGTCAAAAATTTACGGTAGACTGTCTTTTCTATTTTAAGGAGCCGCTGGTGTTGAATGCGTACGATTACTAACGGAAGTGTGAGGATGTAATAAAAGAAATAAAAGCAGCAAAAGATTTTACACACAATTATAAATTTTATTTTATTTATTTCATTTATTCATTCAACTAACACTATGTAAAATTTGTCGATGATATGAGAAATAAGATACATAATTTAATATGTCTGCAGTTATATTCCTAGTAAATGTTAAATCTATAAACGAATTGCCAAATGTACTTGGGTAGCTACTTGGCACCATATTGAGATTAAAATGATATTTCGTAAAATCAAATGCTTTTTCATTTCATTTGACGTCTACATCAAAATCTCAAATTATGATAATGGAACTTCTGTATCTACAGTAAACTCTTCATTAATCAACAAAGCAGTTTCAGAATATTTCATCAATGCACTAAACAAGAACATCAAATCTCTTGAATTAACAGTTGGATGAATATATACGGATGCTAGACTAAAACTTGACTGTTGATTAACAATTACATAAACCATGCAAATATCACCTGCTTCTGAATCCTGTATTCTTTTACGCTGCGCAACAGCAAATTCTATTAGTACACAGTCTGCTACACTCTTCAAATTTCTATAAATCGCAACACCATTAACTTGGCGAAATAAAATTAAATACAGCAAACACCATCTGAACACATTAACTTTCTACGCACGATATCATTACCATTAAACCTTACCACTCACACTGGTCATGCATGGGATTTTGCCTTCCGCCTCCATGCATCAAGGTTGCTTTCTCTTAGCTCTCATGGCCATCCATGATCCTAAGTCGAATAGCGATGCTCTTACACCGGAGAAATCCTTTTCCCATTGGAATGCGCCTACGGATGATTACTTTCAAATACAGATAGAATGACCGCTACGGAATATTGACAATCTGATAATGATGACGGACCAGACTTACAAGATCAACTCAAGCAACTGCAAATGCAAATTATGCTGATAAATAATAAAATCGACAATGTCACAGAGATGAAGTGTCATTTAGATGCAAATCGACCTATTTTTGCACCTGATAAATACACTGAAATTATAGTGAAGAACTGTCGGGACTTCAAAAGAAGGAAAGGGAATATCTCATGGGTAAGCGAGAATTTTTATTATTTCAGTGTGCAAATACCCCCTCTCAACCTGCTAGTAATGCTAACATTAATGCTCAGAAAAGGAATAACACGATATTTCTGACTACTCAGATGATAACATTAATCAAGATGGCTTTATCAAACCCACCCATGTTGCTAAAATTGGAAAAAAAGATCAAGCAACTAAGGATGCCATTAACACAAAAAATAAATTTAGCCCCTTAAATCAAGTTAACTCTGATAATAACTCAGCTGCTGAAAATAACACAAATACCCAAACCGAATCTCCCGAGCAACAAATACCTCCACACGAAAAGAAAAATCAGTTCCACCTATAATGGTCAAACCACCAGCTAACATCAAACAAAATATTCATTTAAAGCAACTTGCTAATCAATCCTCAACAAAATTCTGTAGTAAAGTCAATGGAGAATTTTTAAATGTATTTAGATGATCATAAAGCACTTACCAGATATCTCAAGACTAATTCTATTGAACAACACTATCTAATCAATGCACAACACAAGAAACCAATCAAAATAGTCATTCGCAGATAACCTATAGATATGGACACCTCAGAAATCAGTGAAATGTTAACAGATTTAGGCTACACTGTACATAAGGTTGTACAAATGACAAGAATACGCATCCGCCAACCCATGCCACTATTTCAAGTGCAACTCCTTGCTACACCTAACATTGTGTTGCGTGCGCACGGGTTCGTTATGAAATGAATGCACAAGTCCGATGCAAAATGAACAAAAATTTATTATTATCACAACAAAAATGCTTAAATCTTCTCAACTTATCATGCAGTATTACAATACCTCACAGTAGTTATCTTTTAACTACTCAAATGTCCAATAGAACGTAATTCAAAACAGCTAAAGAACGCTAATCCGCGAATTCGCTATAATCGACAAGAGCAGTTTTCTAAACAACAACAAACTAAGCAACTACTACAAACTGAGATGTTTTCCCCCTTTTATAAGATTTTAAAATCACGCGCTAGAATTTTCCAGTACTTTCTAGGGTGTCCGCCGATAACATCGTGGCAAAAACACCGCGGACGAAAACATCGCGGAGAAAACAACGCAAGGCGAAAATGTCGTGCTACAAAACATCGTGGGAGAAAACATCGCAGTCCTAAAACATCGTGGTAAAAATCATCGTCGTCGAAAATAAAGCGCTTCAAAAACTTCGCAGTTTAAAAACATCGTCGTCGAAAATATCGTGGTAAAAAATAAAGTATCTACAAATCATCGCATGACGATAACATCGCAGACATGCTTTTTCAAAAACATGCTTTAATAACTGTAAATGAATATTCCCATAATGATTTGTGAGCGCAAAATGTAAAGAAGGATAAATTTTACTTTCACATTTTTTATTAACTAATAAATTTTTACTGAAAAAGTAAGAAGGAAACTTAAGCATAGAAAATTAAATGCAACTTATAGCTTATACGTTTCATGAAAAATTACCAGTAAAAACTTTATAAAAAATGATTTATTAATGGCCTTTGTTAGTTAACTAAGTCGGCTTAAAATTCTATTAATTGCTATAAGTTGCATTAATTTGCTATGTTAAGTTTCCTTCTTACTTTTTCAGAAAAATTTATTAGTTAATAAAAAAATGTGAAAACAAAAATTATCCTTTTTTATACCTTGCACTCACAAATCATTATGGGGATATCCATTTACAGTTATTAACGCATGTTTGCGAAAAGGATGTATGAAAAAAGCATGTATGCGATGTTATTGTCATGCGATGATTTGTAGATACTTTATTTTTTACCACGATATTTTCGACGACGACGTTTTTAAATTGCGAAGTTTTTGAATCGCTTTATTTTCGACGACGATGTTTTGTACCACGATGTTTTAGGACTGCGATGTTTTCTCCCACGATGTTTTGTAGCATGACGTTTTCGCCTTGCGTTGTTTTCTCCGCGACGTTTTCGTCCACGATGTTTTCGGCTGTAACCACTTTCTAGAAATCAAAAAGAGATATTTATTTATTTAATGCACGCGCTCTTGTATTTTCAATTTTCCGGCTTAGCTTTCTTTTAATATTCGTCACGCGCTGCACTGCGCGAGGAATAAAACCACTTAATTTATAATTGAACTAACATTTAGCTTTTTAAATACCAAATTCGTAACAATTGAAACAATCTATGATATCACACATTTTTCATTTTCCATCGTACAAGTTCAAAAATACACAAACAAAAATCTCACTCCACAGTGTCATAATTGCCAAAAATGGCACCACTCCTCAGAAAACTGTTCCCTTATGCCAGGCTGCGTGAAATGCGCAGAACACAGAACTTCATTTTGTCCCAAAAAAGGATTTATCGAAAATCTAATTTGTGTAAATTGCAGTAATTTCTCACCCGGCCTCGTACTGTTGATGTTCAAAATTCCCCAGACAGAGGACAATTAACCAACAAGCACCTAGAAAACTTTTTTCCAAAATAGTCACAAACAAATCTCAGAAAACAGACTCTCAGTAGATGGATAATATTAAACCTAACCTAAATCCTACTACCCCTGAACCAAATAGCATTAAATCTTCCTCAAACGACTCAACCTCAGGATTTCTAGAATTTTTTAAAGCAATAAAAGAATTTGAATCCATTTTTGGCATACAACTTTCAAAAATAATTTACTTAATAAAGCAAAAATTAAACGTACTCAGAAACGCAAACACTATCATGGACAAAATATACATTAT